TGCTGTGCACTGATCGTCAGCGCGAAAAAACCAAACACTGCAGCGACTTCGAGCCCCGGGATCTCTATGGGGCCTTGAAATGCTGACAAGTCCTTTCTATCTACCAACTCTGATATCCAAAGGAAGACTTTCAAACATGTCTAAACTAGCTCGAGACTGAGTTGAAACTGGGAGAGGCACCAGAAGGGGCGTCTCTTCAAACTACAACCCAGTCTGTAGAGCTAGAAGACAAAGTGAATCCCATGCCTGGAATCTCGAGTCCCCTATCAGGAAAAGATGGATAGCTACATAATACTTCTTAATATGGGAATTGTTTTATTAGACATATTATTTTATTAATTGTTTTATTAAATTTTTAATAAATATTAATTTTATAAATTGTTTTATTAAAACATACAATGAATGGTCACAAGTACTTGGCATGGCTAGTCTAGTGAAGAGAAGGACCAGGGGAGACATGATAGCAGCATTCCAATATTTGAAGGGCTACCACAGAGAGGAAGGGGTCAAGCTATTTTCCAAAGCACCAGAAGGTCAGACAAGGAATAATGGATGGAAATTGATCAAGAAGAGATTCAACCTAGAAATATGGAGAAATTTTCTGACAGTGAGAATAATCAACCAATTGAACAGCTTGCCTTCGGAAGTTGTGGAAGCTTCGTCACTGGAAGCTTTCAAGAAGAGACTGGACTGCCATTTGTCAAAAACAGTAGGGCCTCCTGCTTGGGCGGAGGGTTGGACTAGAAGATCTATAACCATGATGGTGAACCTATGGCACGTGTGCCACAGGTGGCACACAGCACCCTCTCTGTGGGTACGTGAGCCATTGCCCCAGTTCAGCTGTGCCACACATGTGCGCACGCCTCCCACCGACTAGGTGGTTGTCGGGTCTCTGCCATGCATATGCAGGGGGCGGGGCACATGCAGGGGGCATGGGGCGCATGCACATGGGAGGACGTGTGCGGGGGGACTTATGATTCTTGCCTGAATATCTGATTGTTGCTTACAACTGTGGGAGCACTACAACTCCCTTCCCCACACCATGGACTAAGAGGCATCAGCCAGTTAGGCTTCTCAGAAACAAGCCAAAGGCTTGCAAGCTGGAGCCACTTTGTGTGCTCATTCAGGATGGATGAGTGGCTAGGTAGGAAGAAATCACAAGGCCTGTGGGGACCTTAAAATTTTAACATGATGCTTAAGATTTTTGCTTAAGCATCAAACTGATAGGATTGTAATGAGAAAAAGTTCTAGATAAAATTTCCATCCTAGAGATCTTATTTGGAAGATTCTTAGAAATTCATATTATATCAATTCTTGAAAAAGATACAAGACATTCTGAAAAATAAGTGTATTCTCTGGAGTACCATACTTCTTTCTCCAAATATCCACAAGATAGATTGTCCAACGTATTAAAAAGACTTTGGTAATTTGTCTTGATTAAGTTTAATTTATCTAACTGAAGTTTTATCAAATTGTGGAACTACTCTATTCCAATACCCCATCATGCACCAGTTCTCATATAAAAAATAATCAATTGGTCCATAAGATGATTAAAGAACTTCATTTTATGCTCATTTGGAACATAAACAGCAACAATTATATAATAATTATAAATTTAATCTGTTGCATTTCAACCTCAATTGTAACATTTTATCTACTGAGTTCATCAGTAAATAATAATTTCAGTTTTAATTGTGGATTAATGTACAAAATTACTCTATTAATCTTTTAAGCCTATTGATATAAATTCTTCGCTCATAGTTTTATAGATCAAACACTTCACATCTTTATGAAGTATTCTCAGTACAGGGACTATTCTATTTCAAATTACATAGGTCATTCTATTTACTAAATTTATCTCAGTAATATCATGAAATGGAATTTTTACTAAAATAATTGGCTAGTTCTAGTTTTGCACAAGTAAAATATAAATAAAATGATAACATTAGAACTAGAAGAAAATCCTTGAAATAAATAATAAAGCAAAGAATCATAATTAAAAGTAATCCCATTTAAATTATAGCCCTCGATTTTTAAAATCAGCATGTTGTTATAGTATCACACCAACATCAGTACAAGTACTCTATAAAATTTGAGTATTTTTAAGATTTGTATTTGTTAAGAAACTTCTTAATTACTGGGCTACCAAACAAGTGAAGCTTTCGAACCACCTGGTCTACCCCAATATGGGAGGGAGAATCCTGCTTCCCTTTCACCTTTCAGCTCCAATCCAGGAGCCCTCAAGCAGTCACATTCACAACAAACCATTTTATACCAAATTTATATTTTGCTGATAAAGAAATAAAGGGAGACTAGTATAGATCTATTTCAAGCTATTTAGCTCTCATCAGCTAGCCATATCTTTACTTGGATTCAAAGTATGGATTGATTGGGCAGGCTAGGTTTATACCAACAAATTGCTGAATTTACTAGTACCATAGTTTTCTGCAGGTTGGAAAATACAAAGAAAAATGCATGTGTCAAGTCTCCAGTAAGCTGAATATATCCATTTTACCTTTTAGAATTCAACTCCTAAACTAAACATAAATCAGTAAACTTTTATTAGCATCTGTACATGTTAGCAATATGTCAGCATTGCTAACCCTTACTGAATCCCATTTAGTGGCTCAAATGATATAAAACAACCCATCTACTCATCAGAGAGCAACAAATCTTTTTGTGTAACAGGCCCAACCATGCTATGTGGCCAAAATTGTGGAAACCTTTTGGGGAAAATGTATTTTTGAGGTTTGATGGCTAATAACACCACTTTTTTTTTTGAGTAGTACCATAAAATTATATATCAATGGCTTTCCATTCTTGATAATTTAATCAAGAATGTAATGCAACAAAGTTTATTCTATGAAAAGTTATAGCCAAATAACCAGAAAAAGGAAGCACAACTTGCTTAGGTTTATATCAGGTAGCTTTTCTTCATCTGATTGTAGCCAATGAGCATGAGTAGAGCGCCAATCAGATGTCATCTTGTTTTGGCAATGAGCCAATCAGATCACAGTAGGATTCAGTTATTGATGTCATGTATTGTAGCTGAGAGGTTGGTCGCTATCAAGTTGGTTGGGGTTTTTTGTGTTCTTTCATTTAGTGAGCTTGTAAAATGTAATAAAATTAAAGTAATGGTGCAAAGAGTTGTCTGGTCACCCAGAAAGTGATGTAAAATAGTATTATTGAGTGAACAAGGCTACAGTTATAAAGAAATCAGAAGAAAAATTGGTGGAAACTTAACCAAAGGTAGCATTTCTAAGTTTTTGAAGAGGTATAAGGAGACTCATCACTACAAAACCACACCAGGTAAAGGCAGGAAAAGGTGCAAGTGATGATAGAAGAATTAAGAGACTGTGCCTACATGACAGAAGAAAATCATCTGGGTGTATAAAAGATGAAATGGCGCAATGCAATGTGGAGTGCAAGGACTGTTCGGTGCAGACTGCAGGAATTTAGCCTAAAATCTAGAATTCCAAGAAAAAAGCCACTTTTATCAACAAAAGTTGAAAACTGGGCTAAAACCCATGTTACCTGGACAGAGGAACAATGGGACAGTGTTATTTGGAGTGATGAGACTAAGATCTCCCTATTTGGTAGTGATGGCATAAAAATACACTTTTCCCATAAGGTTTCCACAATTTTGGCCACTACTGTATGTACCTAAATAAGAATCTGCAATCTTCTATTTGCTAACTTCATACAACCTAAAACAAGCTAAAAAAATTAACAAGAAAACAAAAATTGCAATACATGCTACCTTCCACAAAAAGTAATGACGACAAGTATTCAAGTATTTAAACAGACAGCACAATTAGTATCTTGACCAATATATAGATCTACACAGAGAGAGAGAGAGTTCTAAGTATTCCAATTCACGCTATAATCAACCTTTTTCATATCTAACAATTGTTTGAAATAAATCAAGATAGTATATAACTAGATTTGAATGAATAATGGATAGGGCTCATGGTTAGACTCCAAATCTAATTGAATTGAAAAATGCATTAATTTAACACATTGTGATAAGTCACAACATGGTTCAAAACTAGCCAATACATTTAATTCAGTACGTATTTTTTAAAGCTATTTCCCTATCTGTAATTTATACTGTGTTCTAACATTTTTTTTCAGCAGTCATCCATCACTGAGGCAATATAAACCTTTCTTTGCTATTGTTTTAGCAACTCAATAATGGCTAGAACTTAGGTAATTCTATCAGACTTTGGCAGTGGATAGGGAGACATTGTCAATGGATGGAGGAAACTCCACAAAGTTCTGCTTCTGACTCAGGTCCCTAAATCGAATCGAAACCCATACCAAACTATAGAACAGGAAACAGTTGTCAAAAACAACATCACTCCTTCAGACCTCCGTTTAAACCAGACAGTTGATGATCACCTTGCTCCCAATCTGTTTGAACAGAAGTACAGTACGGTACCTCTTTTCCATTTTCCCCCCAGTCTCCCTCCAGATTTTCGCAATTCCCAAGAAATCACTCAGCAAAAAGTAAAGATTTCGCGTTCAACAACGGGGGCGGGAGGGGAGAGAGACAGAGGGGAGGGATCACGTTTTACCTCCACGCCACCCAACCTGAAACCCAGGCCTTGTCCAGCGAAACCGCCGGTTTTCAATTTAAAAAAAAAAAAAAAAGGTAGGCCCGCTACCGTTGGGCTGCATTGCCGAGGAATTAGTTCACACAAGGCAGTAAATGATACACTCCGAAGTCCGCGCGACCATCGGGCCATTCGCGATTCGCGGAAGACTCCGTAACCTCGGAGATCTCCAGCTGCCCGACATTCCCGCCCCGTCTCCAGTACTAGAAGTCGGTAGGAAAACAATTCCTCAGGCGGCTGTGCGGAAAACCAGGTTGGCTCGGCTTTTGGACTCACCGCCGCTTGTTCGCTGGTAGCAACGCGGCCTCCGGTAAGACAGGCCTAAACCCAACTGGAGCCTCTCTGCGACTGATCGCTCGATCCCGCCCTCCTTCCCTTGCTCACCCTTCCATCCATCCGGCGTCGTTCAAAACGGGGCCGGCTTTGGCGGGCGTCGACAGCCGTCTTGGCATTTCGGGAGCCAGGTCAGCCACAGGCCCGCGTAGCCGAAGAAAAGCGGCCTCGGAACAACAAACACCGGCTCCGCTCTTTTCTCTGACGTGGAAACTGACCACAACCGAACTTGCTGCGTGACGCTACGGGGGAGGGGGGCAATCCAAGTAGCCAATCGAGAATCATCCTGAGATGACAGAAGATCTATTCTCCAATCGAATCAACGAATTACACTGAGGGACAGGCTGAAGTTTTGGTATTCTAAGGAAGACTCTGTAGAAAAACCAATCAAATACGAGATGAGTGAATTGACACGTCATTTACCAATACCTGATACCAAATCCTTGCTTAAGAAAATATCATGACAGTTAAGGTGCGGGGTTGTTTGCGATATGTAATCTAGGTAGCAGTTGTCAACTGTGTGCCGGTTTCAATCGCATTCTTAACTTTAAATTTTCAGCCTCACCGTAAAACAACAGACGTGTACATAAGAAGCACTTTCGTAAGGGCAAATAGGTTTAAAAGTTAGCGCAGAGGTTTGATCAAAGGTTGGAATTTGGTCTAGAGATTAAGCCAATTGGGTGACCTTGGGCCAGTCTCAACTCACAAGTGTGCGGCTGTGGGGAAAATAGGAGGAGGAAGATGGGTTGGATTTGTTCATTGCCTTCAGTTATTTGTAAAAATAATAAAGACAGGATATAAATAAATAGTTATCGATGCCTTGCTGGCCAATCGTGGAAGCACTGATTCGTGGAGACAGCAACCTCACCTGGTCTGATACTCCTCCACCGCTTAGTCTTAGAGAAATGTTTTCCTGGCTGCAATTCAATACCTTAACAGCTACATTACAATGGGCTTTCCTGTTCTCAGTCGCTGCAATCCCTGACTTTTGAGGATAAGGATGATAAACCTAAGGAAGGTAGAGGTACTCATTTCAGTACAGCCATGGACAGCATTTCGTTGAAGTGGGAAAATACTACTTTAAGCCTAAGGGAAACTTAATTCTATCTCATTCATAGGCTGATAACAAGATGAAGGCAATATTATGGGCACACACAGTGAAGAACAAGGCCTAGACCATTGGATGTGCTCCATCTGCATCCCTGTGAGATGGAAGCTTAAGGGGTTTTACACAGTAGGGGATGGCTCAGCAGTCAGTATTACTTTAGTATCCTCAGCTGGAAAACACCTTGCACCCTTTTCATTGCAGACAATGCTATGATAGTTCTTCAGAACATGGATCTATTAATCTTCACCTAGTCCTCTTATGTTGTCAAAGCCAAGTGCAAGAGTTAGGCATCAATAGTCAGGAATGGACTGAGAGATGTCTCTCAGTGCCAAAGTAGCATGTATTAGGTATCTTATTTGTTTTAGATACCAAGTTCTTTGTCAAGTTCATTAAAACGATAAAATAGAAAGTTATTAGAATTTTTGACTAAAGATCTACTTCCCCATGTCTTGACATTTTGAGGGCCATCCAGTGGTGGGATTCTGGGGGTTCTAGGGGGTTTGGCCGAACCCTTTGTTAAATTGCTGGCTCGCCCCGCCCCTTGCCCCACCCCTCCGCACTACTATTTATTCCAATAAATGGGGCGAGTGAGCCAGCAATTTAACAAACGGTTCGGTGTTTTTTTGTAATTTATTGGCCCCGCAGCACACCGAACCGTTTGTTAAATTGCTGGCTCACCCGCCCCTCACCTCGCTCCGCCTCCCATCCGCGCAGCGCCAGCCTACCCTAGCCAGGGGTAGGCAATTGTGGCTCTTTTACAACCTGTGGCCTTCAACTTCTAGAATTCCTGAGACAGCTTGGCTGTCTCAGGAATTCTGGGAGTTGAAGGCCACAGGTTGTAAAAGACCCACAATTGCCCACCCCTTCCCTAGCCTGAGTTCCGCTGTCTGGGATCCACGTGGGCTGCCACGTGGTTCCCCACCGGCTCCGGACGCAAGAGAGCAGGATGGAGAAAGCAGCTTCCACGCCTTCACTCACCCTCACTCTCTGCTCTGTTGGATCGCCAGCCGTTTGCTTACCCCGCCCACTCCCAATCTATTGCTGCCTCCAGAGTCCCAGCTGATGGCTAGAGGAAAAAAAACTTCAAATTCTTGCTGCGGGGCTTCAAAGGGCCGCCTTATAGCCAGTGGTGCAGCCGAACCGTTTGTTAAATTGCTGGCTTGCCCCACCCCTCCGCACCACTATTTATTGCCAATAAATAGTGGTGGGCGAGGGGCAGGCGAGCTAACAATTTAACAAATGGTTCGGTGTTTTTTTGTAATTTTATTGGCCCACGGAGCTTCAGCATAGGCTAATTAGCCCTTGATTCTATCGGCCTCCCGACTCTCAGCTGATTTGTCTCAGCTGTTTTGCTCAGGGCTCTGCTGCTTCCTTGCAAAGAGTCCTGGAGCAATTTTTTTTTCCCCTAGCTATGCTGAAACACGAAACTGAAACTGCTTTGCTGTTGCTGCAAGGTTGGAAAATTAGGCAGGCAGAATTCTTTTCTTTTTCCTCACCAAAAAAGGTAAGTGCAAACAATGGGAAATTTAGGGAAAAAGAAGAGAATTCAAGATTTTAAAACACAAAAGAAAAAAAGCTCTATTTAACTAGGGAATTGTAATAATTGAGATACTATTAATTGTATATTTCTGAAAGCAGAAATGGTTAAGTTGTGGTTTGGAAGAATATATGGGGGAAATTATTTGGTTTATTATTATTGGTAAATATAATTAATTGATTTGTAAGAAATTGGATTGCATGGAAATAATTGGAATATTCATGTTCATATTGATTAATATACAAAAAAGGTAGTTATATAACTAATTGATTTATATTAAAATGTTGAATTTATATTAAACAACTAATATTACATAATTAACCAATGTGAGGATGGATATAAAAATAGATGACAATGGGAAGGGGTATAATATAGAATAGAAGGGAAAAATTGAATTTGATTAAGATTAGAGATGAGGATGAAGGGTAATATTGGTTTTTTACAAAAATAGATGAGGAATAAATATGGCAAAAAGGAAATATAGAAATTGTAAATTTAATTGAAATGACTAAACACTGTTTAAATTTGTGAACCAGCCAAATGCTCTGTTCAAAGAAAATACATTGTATGTTTGTATGTGTGTTTCTAATTGTTATTTATTCATATTTGTTCTCTTTTATTCTTTAAAGTTTAACAATTCATTCTTTATCTTAATATCTTTATATTTGTTTGGGGTTGGCTTTCTTCCCTTTCATCTTTTTTATTGTACAGCAATCTTTCTCCTCAAACCTACCACCTCTCTCTTTTCTTTCCTTCTTACTTTCTCTTCCTCCCCCTCTTCTTCTCCTTCCTACTTCCTCTTCCTTTCTCCTTCTCCTCCTCACTTCCTCCCTCTCTTACCCTCCCTCCTACTCTAATTTCCCTTCCCTTCCTTCATCCCTCTCTATTGCTGTATCCTTTTATGCATATGGACTACTCAGAGGGCTGAAAAAGTTATTTCTGACTGGTCCTCACACTTTTGACCAGTCCTCGAACTTACGACTGTCCTCACATTTTACGTTTTGCCCTATCTTGTCACCATGGTGAAGAGAAGCAGTTGTGAAATGAGTGACATGGTTGTTAAGAAAGCTGCACGGGCATAAATGTGAGGATGGTCATAAGTGTGAGGACCGGTCAAAAGTGTGAGGCCCAGTCAGAAATGACTTTTTTCAGCCCTCTGAGTAGTCCCTATGCACATAGCCACACCCACCCGGTCACATGACAAGCTAGCCACGCCTACACAGTCACCTGAGTGCCAAGCCACACCCACAACTAAGCCACGCCCACAGAACCTGTTGTTAAAAAAATTGAATCCCACCACTGGGGCCATCATTTCATTTGCTTATTTTACCAAAATATATTTCTAACAATACCTGAATGACAGTCAAGTTCTGCTAGATCTTATTCTAACAGGATTTGTAATCATCTTCCTCTCTGAAGTTGAAGAAATATACACAAACACTGAAACACACACACAGAAAATCCAGAAACATTGTATTTGAGTACATACAAAGCAAGACATCTGGCACAGAGGAGCATAGATAGTTTTTAAAGCTTTATGGAAGGCTAACACATTTGGGGCCATTCTAATCTCCAGAGGGAGGATGTTCCACAGAGCAGGGACTGCTGCAGAAAAAGCTCGTCTTCTACTCCCCATCAGCTGGCATTCTTTGGCTGACGGGATCTGCAGCATGCTCATCCTATTTGGTTTAATTGGACAGGCAGAAACACTGGAGAAAAGGCGATCCCTCAGGTACCCTCAGGTATAGGGCTTTATAGATTATCATCAGCACCTTGTATTGCACCCAGAAACACACTGGTAACTAGTGCAGCTCATGCAGGAGTGATGTTACATGTGCCATATATCTGGCCTCAGTTACTACCCACACGGCTGCATCCTGTACCAGTTGAAATTTCTGAATGATCTTCAAGGGGAACTCCATGTATAATGTGTTAAAGTACCAACTTAGTGGTTTATAAGCATGATAAAGGAAAATAAACATATACTGCTTAAATTATGTGTAGTAAACAGTACACAACCAGTGCAGAGGTTTCACAGAATCCTGGACTTCGTATCAGTTATCAGTCTACCGGCTATATTTTGCATCAATTGCAGCTTGGGATGTTTTTAATGGAACTCTCACTTGGGATTTGTTACAATAATCCAAATGGGATGCAGTCAAGGCATTAATAACTGCTACCAAATCCAACTGGCTCAAAGTCACTAATGGCAATTGTACAAAAGTTCTCTTTCCCACAGTTGCTATCTGTGATTTCAGTAACAACTGAAAATCAATGTTCCAATCCCATAACAGCCTGATCAGGGAAAGAACAACTTCAGTCATAACAAGGTAAATCTTAGTCCAAGAGTCTAACTTATTTTAGATCAGCAGCATGTTCTACTTACCTTCCTCATATAACCGATGCTGTATCAAATTTAAACAACATAGTGGTTGCTTCCTTGGAGTTAGTATAGCAGCGGGCAAGTGCATGTGTGTGTGCACATGTGAATCCATCCCCTCCCCCCCTCCCAAAGCCAAAAAGGTTGGGGAACTCAGAATTATTAATGTCACAGACATTAAATATGCCATGTTTTCTGAAGAGGAGAGATATTATTTTCCTCCAAATACTGCAAGGTAGTTTGGGACAAATACATTAGCCTTGCCCTTTATTTTATTAAAATCTGATTTGTAAACAACCAAGGTTTGTATGTTATATTCAACTTTAATTTACATTTAGAAGTCTAGCTTATACTGTAATGACTTTCCTTACTCCTGCGTCTAAGTCTTCCTTATTGATTAATAAGAGTTTATACACTTACAAGCCATTATTCCACTAATTCTGGACAACTTAGAAGTATATATGTATAAAAATTGGTAAATAATATAATTCACCACAGCTTGCACCACAGCTGTTCAAATTAACGGATGATTCTTCATTTCCTGCATAAAAGGAAAATGCATCCATTGGATAGCTCAAATAGATTATCAACAACATGCTTATTAACATCCTATCAACATCCTATTCAAGGAAATGTCGCCCCAAAATTGACTGTTATCTAATCAGATGCATTGGTTTTGAGAATGGACCAACCCTACACTTCTGCAGCGTATGGCAGAGTGCAAATTGTTATTCACAAAGGGTCACAAATCACATTTTCCTATGTTCTTTTGTATTATTGTTGACTAGAGACCACCATTTCTGATATACAAAGTATTTTACACTCTGTATATCTTTGAAATACAGATAAATTATTTAGTGAATGCTGAATTTTCAATTTGTATACAATAAAAAGGCAAAAATGAAACTAGAAAAGTTTTGTATCAAGTTGAGGAAAGATCAAAAGAATTATATATTTGAGGGGGGTTAAAATTAGTTTTGGAGCTCAAAAAGGAGTTAACCTTTGTCCACCTTAGTCTAACAATATATAGAATTATGGTTAAGGTAAGTAAAGCTATTCCAAACTTTTACTATAAATTATGGTTAAAGGGACTTGGAGAATGCTTAAATCTCTGAGGTGGTCATCGCTGTCTAGGAAATAGCTTTTCAGTGGCAGGGAAGTATTATTAGAAAAGGCATTTTACCCTGTCCTACTTTTCCTCTTATTTCCTCGAAAAGAAAGTCAAAGCTATGGTGGCTGGGATAGCTACAATGCGAGTAGCTGCGGAAACTATCGAGATGGAGCACAAGCTCTCTCGCTCCCCCCTATTGATCGAGGAGTGAGGAAAGGACCTAGCCTTCTTTTTCTTGTGACCGTGTGCGCATCTTCCTCAAAGCCGCTCTCTGGTTCTGACCCCCGAGTGCTCAGAAAGCTCGTCTCCTTTGCAGGAACGGCCCAAACCTCTTTCCACTTCAGGACTTTCCCCCCCGCACCCCCCGGCGACCCCCTCCGCGATCTTTCCTCCTTGGAGGCTTCCCCTCCTCTCGACGGGGAAGCGCCTCGGGCAAAGGCGTGGTCTGGAGCCCCACCTAGGAAAGAGGCGGGGGGCTCCGCGGCCGGCACGCAGCGAGCGATGGGGCGGGGTAGGAGAGCATTGCCCGAGGGCGGCTGGCTGGGGGCGACGATGGCCCCATCCATAAAGCCGATGTTCCCCGCGCAAGGGAGCCACTCGGCCGGCGGCTCCTTCTCCGTGCTGCGGCGGAGCAGACCTGGCGCCGAAGGTGTCGGGACGAGGTGGAGCCTTACGTTGCCCCGAGTCCAGAGGCGCGGCGAGACTGGGCGACGGCTCTTCGGTGCCGCGGGAGCTGCAGAGCTGTAAGTGCTGCTCCCTCTCCAGGCAGGCCGTGCTTCGGAGAGTCCTTTCCCGCTCGGCCGCGCCGCCCCAATCGCCCGGCCATTTGCCTGGGATCACCTCCGGCTGGGCGACAAAGGAAGTGGCCCACAGTCGGATTCTGCTTAACCTACGCCGCCGTCCAGGGCGGGCAGACGGCGCTCTCTGCTGCCTTTCCTCGCGTGGGGTTTCGTTGGCCAGGCCAGAGCAAAACCGCTGGAGGCCGTGCGCGGGACGGTCCGAGTCGACAGTGGCCGGGTTGATTTCGGGTGGCGCGCCGGGTCCCGTGTTTGCTTTCACCTGGCTCGTGGATAAACCCAGAGCCGACGAGCGCTTCTCCGGCTGGGCTTTCCTTCGTTTTGGTGAAAGGGGAGGGAGACAGACGACGGCAGGTGGGAAAGGGAAAGCGCGCGAGTTCCTGGACGAAACCGAATTGGGCCGCATTTCGGATGAAGAGACTAAAGGCGCTCACGTAGAAAAAGCGGACTCCATACTGACCTTTGGGCTAATAAAAGAACTATAAATTATGAGACCAAATTGAGGTTACTTTAAAATAACTCTTTCATTATTACAAAATTAATTAACAAAACAAGACCGCGCCGAACATATAGTATTTAATTTTCACTCAGTTGTTTTATTAACATTTTGTAAATATCCTATCAGAATACATTTCTAATTTGCTTAATCCGATAGACAGGATCCTGCCTGTCAAATGAAAACTGAGTCGGCTAGTCAATGTTGTATTAATATTGCATCATGTATCGCATCACTTAGCATGTTTGTTATTTTAAATAAAATAAATAAATTTATATCAAAATACTGTAGTTTTTAAAATAATTGGAATACAAAGATAGCATACAAGAAATGTAATTAGGACAAGATTCAAAGAATTTCATTGAATTTAAATGAGTTTTCCGTTCTATGGGATTCGCTGTTTTTTCCTCTCTTTAACGGATTGATGGATGGGCGCGGGGCAGCAGCCCTTTCGTTTTCTACTCAGGCTGAAATCCGCGGACGTTGCTCAACTCGGACCAGAAGCAACGCCGGGCGAATCGTTTAATCCCCTCGGCTGGGGAAGGAGCGCCAACTCGATTCACCCTTCACTGACGAGGCGACAGGGGAAATGAATGGGTCTGGAAGGATTTCTCGGGGTCACGAACTTGTTTTTTCTTGTAACTATCAAATATACTTAAGCAAATATTAGATGCTCGCCTGTTTTCGCTGCGATCCAGGAGCCCGAAGGAGCTTTCCTAGTGGTGGCCCCTCAAAGAGCGGCCGCGCTGCAGAAGGGAGGGAAGAGCGTCGGACTGGCTCTGCCAACGTGCTGAATTTCAGCCCGGAAAGAGCAGGGCCAGAAGCGGAGCGGCTTTTGCAAGCTGGCGCCCCGAAGAGACAAAAGGGGGGGACGGGACATGCTTTGCCTCCGGCCTTTGTTTGGAGAGTCCACGCGTGTGGCTGCTGGTGAGGAAAAAGCGGCGGTCGCAACTTGCGTAGACTTTCCCAGGAAGGCGCATCTGTAAAGGACTGCCCTGCCTTCTGCTTCTGCCAAAAAGTTGCCTCGAGACCATCCCTGCAGCGCGCCCAAAGAGGGTGCTTTCATTTGAGGCGTGTGTGTATACTTTCCAGCGGCCGCATAAGTGGGGGGCGCCAGTTGTGGGGGCAATAAGCTGACTTTGTATAAATATACAAAAGAATGAAGGCTATTGCTTAGCGCATTGTAAGCCGCCCTGAGTCTTCGGAGAAGGGCGGCATATAAATCATATAAATCAAATCAAATTAAATCATAAGGCAGGGCATGCAGCCCACTGGTGGGTGCTTTGCAAGGTCCTGGGAAGCCCAGCGCGCCATCTAGAAAAGACCGAGTCGGTTGATTGCCTCCTCCCCCCCCCCCCCCCTCCTCCGACGAAGGAGAACCATCCCTGAAGCTTCCACCAAGTGCTTCTGCTTCGCCAGAGGAGTGGCCAACGAGGGGAATTCACAGCTGGCACCAGTGATATGAAGGAGTTATATTCTGAAATGGAGAAGGAGCAGCCCCGTTCTGGACATTAGGGGAGGGGTCCAGAATGACCACCCCCTCTTCTGAAATGGGGACAAGTTCAAGACATGAAATAATGGGTTTAAATTACAAAGAAGCAGATCTTGGTAGGACCTATTCAATGGTAGAACAGATGCCTCAGGAGATGGTGGGCTTCCCTTTGCTGGAGGGAAATGACCACCTCTCAGGAATATTGTAATGGATTCACGCTCTTGTAGGAGGTTGCACTAATAATCTCAAAGTAATCTTCAATCCTCTGATTGTACATAAAACAGAACATAGACCAAAGAATTACAAATACCATGCTTTATCCTTGGTAGATTAAAATAAAAGGAATTGGAATTGTGCCTCTTGATTAAAAAGAGCAAATCCGAAATTAGTTTGGCTGGGTGGTAAAATTGCTTTTGAGAGTAGAAAGAAATATGAGCTCTTAAAGGGCCTTAGCTGTTAAAGGTTGAATTAAAGCTCTGTATAACTAGCATGTGCACAAATGATGTTGCCACAAAATTTGCTGACCTGTTGCCATTCTCTATCCTACATCTGCTTGGGGCAAGGTTCAAGTCATCACTGAATGGTGATGTTTTGATTTGTGAGTGTGGCATTTTTGTAGGCAAAATAGTTTGTTTTCTGGCTTCGAAGTAGCCTCTTTCAGCATATCATTACCCAGAGAGAAAATATCCACCAGCCACTGCAGTAGGAATGGGAGGGGTTTCATTTCAGGACTGTTGAGTCTTTCCTCCTTTGTATTTTAGATACAAATATACCCCAGCAGCATCTTTTTTCCTGCTATGTATTCATGATATTGCTTTCATATGTTCCCCAACCTCCAAGCTAGGCTTAGCCATACTTTCCTGAACTACAGATTTGCCCTTATTCTAATTAAGGTTTTATCATAAATACAATCTGACATGTTTCATTTACTGCTCTGTTGGTGACACGATTAAGTGACTTCTAAATGGTAGAATCAGCCAGCAGAGCCTACTGGCCATTTTATAGTCAAGCATCTCTTTTACAATCACTGGTCCTTGGCTTCCATGGTGATTCCACCTCTGGAGCAAAGTTCTCTTGGGCTCCCTATATTTACTGAGTCTTTGAGTTAATGCCTGATTCCCACAGGTATAGTAACAGACAAGATACCTAAGAAAGCACAATCAGAAACTGGCAAAAACCTTTTAAAATCACCTTGTGGTAATAAAGATGGCAAGATGTTTTCTGTCCTTATCATAGATTGGCAACCAGTAGCCCTTTTCAAAATGACTTGGGTCCACTTGAGCAAAGAGGGTCCAGAAGAACACATGAAGGACCACTGGGAGACTATTTGATATCTTCTTGATGCCATTTATTTTTATAGATTGACTTTGGGTTGCAGTGGTTCTCATTTTTCCAGGATTGGCAGAGGGGGAGAGTTTCATTTCTAATCTCCTGCTTTGCAGGGTTCCTTAGGATTCTGTTCTCCATTAATTTTTAACATCTACATGAGGCCACTGAATGAAGTCATGGGGTTAAGAACCATTAATGTACTGATAGCATCAGCCATATATCTCTATCCTAGTTGATTAAGTGATGCCATCAGAATTCTTTCCCAGTGTCTGGAATCTGAGGATATTCAAATGAAAAAGAAAGCTTTGCCTTAACCCTAGCTAAACCATTTTTTTTTAATCTTCTCTTTTATTTCTGAATGAGATAGGACTAACATAGATCAGATGTGCAGTTTGGATTCTCAGCTCCTGTTCAAAGAGCAGGTGGTAGCTATGGTTAGGAGAGCCTTTGTACAAATCCATCTTGTACACAAATCACACCCATTTCTGGATCAGGGGATCCTTTTTATAGTCATTCAAAGTTTGGTCACCTTTCATTTGGATTGTTGCATGGCACTCTGTATGGGGCTATCCTTGAAGACCTACAAGTATTTATTGGCATAGTGTGATGACACATTGTACATGGTATGACTCCTGGTAGACTTCCAAATATAATTCAACATCTGGTTACCACCTTCACGGCAAAAGGCCAAGTCATTTGTGGACTACTTATCTTTGATTATTTCTGCCCATTATACAAGATTCAGCAGGGTGGGAATACTCCAGGTCTTATCTATGAAATAGTGTCATTGCTGGAACTTGGGAAATTTAACTTGTCACAGTACTTGCTCACTATTACAACATACTCTTTGAAACTCAGATGACCCCCCAAGAACTTTCATACGGCCTGGAATGGCTGTCTCTTCCCCTAGGCATTGTGTCAGAGTGGTAGATGATCCAAATTTTTCACATTTAGTGAAATCATTGTTGTTGGCCTTGGATTTATCTCTGTTCTCATTGTTATTTTTTATTTTTGTTGATTTTTTTGTTATTTGTTTCAACACAATATTAGTCAGAATTACATATTTTGATTTTGGTGTCTATAAACGATGGATGGATGGATGGATGGATGGATGGATGGATGGATGGAGCTTATCAGATGAAAATTAGAACTTTTTTGAATGTATTAATACAAAACATTTGCAGAAGAGCAGGGTGACTTTGAACAAGTTGCTAAAATTGTTGGTCTGTTAAAATTTATTCTTCCATCAGCCTATATTAAAGAGAGCTATTTGTGAGTGTTCTCCAACCAGCTTGTGATATTTGGTGGCTAGAGAGGCAAACTAACTGGGACCGTTCACTCATCTTTATCCTTAATATGCCCTGTATAAAATAACTAAGAAGAACAATATTTGCAAGCATTTTGTCCATAGCAGGATGATTCCTAGCAGGGGCAGAACTTTTTATGCTAATATAGATTTCTGCCCGCTCAAGTACTGTTGGATAGAATTTTAATTAATCCTTAGGAAGAACCCACTGTTTGTCTGCCTCTTCTCCCACCGATTATTTTCAGTATTTCTAGGTTAAAATAAAATGAAAGGAGGACACCAGAGCAGAAATAACTTGAGAGGAGGGAGTCGGATCCTACTAGGATTATACAATTACCTGTGCCTTTTAGATTAGGAAGGTGAGATTGACTAACTAGTAGACATTCACCTCTTTCCTTTCAATCTTTTAGTCTTGTAGTCTAACTTGCTGATTTATTTCAGAAAGTGTCAAAGAAAAAAACCCTCTCTGTAAAGAGCCTGGAATTTGATTAAGTGTACCAGCTTTTCAAAGGTTAAATAAAGCTGGAAGTAATTCCTTTGAATATATTATTTATTATTTTGTTTGCTTGTTTTAGTAATCTTTAGTAAATCTTTTTTCACCTCCCTCTAGTTTGTCCAAGTTTTTTTTAAATTCTCGGAAAAAATGCCAAACTAGAAAACTTCATTTCCATAGTGTATGTGAGAACAGGAGTGCATGCACATATGTCTATATGAATGAGGTGGTTAAAGTACTGAACTAGTTCCTCCTTTTCCCTCCCCGTAGGGTAGATAAGCTAGCTGGGTCACTTTGGGTCAGTCACACTCTCTCCGTCCTAACTTGGGAAATTGAAAAAACTCTCCTTACCAACCCAGACTAAGTTGGACAAATGTGGTAGATGATAGTCCACAATGTTCAAAGGAGGGATTTTTATAGTGCGGTGCATTGAATTGGGCTGGATGTGAATATGTATGTACGGATGGGTATTATTTGATTTGTATTAAATTAAGTACTGTACTTCATATTTTGGAAAGGGCTCGTATTTATAATAAACTTTGCACAGCTTACAAAATTGAAATAAACAGAATAAATCTGCACTGGCATGACTTTACAATGCTGAAAAAACAAAATATTTATAACTATTTAATAGAAAATACATCTGATCTAGAAATGGCATTTGGAGACAGACATGTGGGTGCTCAATCATCACATATTAAAATGTTGGATTTCTGTTGACATATTTTAATTTTGCACTAAACATGGAAATATTGTTTCTTGCTTGTGAATCAGAAAATAAAAAACGTTATTAATTGGAGGATATATTAGACATCAATGTACTTGGCAGGTAAGTTTAAATTCCATGTGACCAAACAGAAGCAATTATTGTGAATAATTGTGAATTATGCCTTTCTTATAACAAATGTCCTTTCCCTTCACTGCAAACTACATCTGTTCATTTCACAGGATTGGAAGAAACAAATTGGGGAATACCTTGTTTAAGAGTACATTTGGCCCAGATATTGGCAACTCAAACTGAAAATCAGTTCAGATAAATCAAATGGAACAGCAGCTGACAAAGAGGGACACTGTGATAGAGGTAGATCACAGCTTGTCCTACTGACAGTCCTTAACTACTTCTGAGTAACAGTTGCTGTTCATCTTGTTGATAATGGTCTCCCTTGTGCCCTGTTTTTACTTCCATTATGATCAGAAGTATAGAAAACCAGTTCTGATATTTTATACTGCTCCAGTTCTATGTAAAAAAATGAATGGACTTTGTTTAAACTTGCACCAGTTTTCCAGTTTTGGTATGTTTTCAATCAAAAGTCATTTCAATTTGCTGTTCATCTTTGTTATGTTCAGTAACCATGTTATGAATAAACAAGTTCATGTAGATTTTCCTAGAACTGTGAACAATTGTTAGTGAATATCCATGTTAAACTGTACTGGGTCAAAACAAAACTAAAATATCACATCCAGAATCACATAGAATCAACATAGTATTCTGAATTATCTCTTTTCCCCCCATATTCCTCTGGTCTGGAATGTGCAAGGAAAAGCAAGTCAGTGGTTTGGTTCCCAAGAATAAATATAAATCATCACATGGCTTAATTGGTATGGTAACAGTACAAAGTATTTTGTACTTAAGATAATTTTTTTAAAATTATGCTAGTAATCCATAATGATGAAATGCCTTCAGATGTTTCAAGTCAGGAATTAAGGAACAACCATGAGGTACTGTATGATTCTGACTGATTTTATAAATGTAAGGAAAACAGGAAAAAGAAATACTTGTTTGCCAAGCTTTCAAAGATTGCTTCTAAAAGTTGAAGGAGTGATGCATTAAATATAGAAATACAGGTAGTTCTCAATTTACAGCAGTTCACTTAGTAACCATTTAAAGTTTCAATGGCACTTAACTGTTATTAACTTAACAACTGCAGTGATTAACACTGTGGCAAGAAATGACGTAAAATAGGGCAAAACTCACTTAACCAATGTCTCCACTAAGCAACAGAAATTTTGAACTCAATTGTGGTTGTATGTCAAGGACTACCTTTATTATTTATTGGGGAAGGAAGTACGTTATTTTTGTAGAACATTTATCATCTGTACTAAATGCATTGGCTATAAAGAACTAGCCTCAAATTTAACTGGAGCAGATTCATATATGAAATAACAAGTGCCTTCCACAATTTATTTATTGGATTACTTTTAATCCCATTTTTATTGTTTTATAAGTAAATTAGGTGATGAATTTACCTGATACTTCTTTTTTTTTAATTTTCCCCACAACAACAACCCTGTGAAGGGGCATTGCTCTGACAGCGAGTGATTAGCCCAAGATCACCCAACTGGCTTTCATGCCTTAGGTGAGATTAGAACTCATGGTTTCCTGGTTTTTAGACCAAATTAAAATCAAAGCAGAACTTCAAAAGGCTGAATTCAATAATTGTCCATAATAATCTACAAAAGAATGGGAATGAAAAGAAGCCGTTATTACAAATAATCATATTGTAAAATTTCTGAGGCATGACTTATACATTACAATCTTCCTAAACAAATATATGCAACCAGTGAGAAACTACATCAAAATCTAATCTATTAAATACAGAAGTCAGATAACAGAACATTACACCATACTCTGATTTTCCACTTTTTTAAGTATACAAATTATTTCTGAGGAGAAAATCTGTCTGAACTTTCAATATTTCTTCATAAATATGACCTAAAACGTGATCTGTTCTCCACATGTCCTAAAATTAGAGAAAGATAATTATACAAATTAGTCAAAAACATTGTATTTATTAGTCATTTATTGACAGAGGAAAATAATCTAAAGCTACATGTTTGTGTATGGCAAAAGTAAAAGTTTGCTGGATAAGCCTTTGGTGAAGTTTTACTGTAAGGTAAAGGTTCCTCTCGCACATACGTGCTAGTCATTCCTGACACTAGGGGGCGGTGCTCATCTCCGTTTCAAAGCCAAAGAGCCAGCGCTGTCCGAAGACGTCTCCATGGTCATGTGGCCGGCGTGACTAAACACCAAAGGCATCCGGAACGCTGTTATCTTCCCACCAAAGGTGGTCCCTAATTTTCTACTTACATTTTTTACGTGCTTTCGAATTGCTAGGTTGGCAGAAGCTAGGACAAGTACCCCGTTACGCGGCACTAGGGATTTGAACTGCTGAACTGCCGACCTTTCAATTGACAAGCTCAGTGTCTTAGCCACTGAGCCACCACATCCCAAGTTTTATTGTAGCAAAACTTAATTACCTTTTGCAAGGAGGTTTTAAGGGCTTTACCAAGTAAATCTGTAGCAGGAGAAAGAGAAAACTTTGGATCTGAGGATTGCACTGGAAGTGTTAGGAGAGAAAACTGCTCTTTGCAGATGCAGTCACATGTCAGAATGAGGAAAATGATCATTTTATAAAAATTGGTAAGAAATTTAATTTGCTGCTTCCTAGAGAAGGGGCTAAGGGGCTTAATAAATTCAGACAGCAAAGTTACACACATCTCTATATTTAGTCCAATAAATTAATGCACTGTGCATTTCTGCATAATTCTTGGAATCAAAAGCCCTCAAAAGAGTAAGAATCATTGGTGGGCTCCGCTTCATGTACAAAATGCATGAACAGGTATCAAGGAAAACACTGATTCCTATATAGACCCAGGATTCTTTGTAAATGTGTTTGTACATGCATGAACATATGAGTATTTGTGTGTACTTGCCTATGCATATATGTATTCAAGTCTCAAACCATCATTTGCTCTCTGGGGGAAATGGATATTGTTTTAAAGTTTCTTCTCTAAGCTGCGTCCTCAGATTTTCCTCAGATAACAAGCTTTTTCCTCAGATAATAAGTGTGTGTGTGTGTGTGTGTGTGTGTGTGTGTGTGTGTGAGAGAGAGAGAGAGAGAGAGAGAGAGAGAGAGAATGTCATTATTCATTGTTTAAAAATATGTACAGAAATAATTTTAATACACTTCATAAACATGCAGGTTAAAAATGAAGAGAAAAATAATAGCAAGATACCGGTACTGACCAGATTCACAACTAGAGTATTTCTGCCAATTGAATGATATGATTGCTCTAATCTTTTGAGAATACAGAAATAAATTACTCTAAAAGTGGAGGATACAGCTGCACTGCCCCTTATTTTAAAAATGGCTAAAAACTTTACATGAAATGTTAGCCTGCAAATCTATATACAGAATATTCTTCCAGGATTGAGCCTCACTGTGAAAATCCTTTCTGGAATAAATTGAAATTTGGTTAATTTGATCATGCTGTTGGTCTGAGCTATAAACACTTGAATGTAAGTCTCAATGAAATTAATTTACTCCAGGTAAGCATATCTCTCCACTCACACTTCCCCATATATCTCTTCAGTTGCTCTCCTGCACCTGTGCCAGGCAGATGGAGTTCAACTTGCTCACTGACCCAGAAGCTCAGCGCTCCTCTCTTTCCCTCTCAGAATCTGGGACACCTCAACATGCACACAGGCACAAGGGGCAAGCAAATGGTAAGTAGGAGAACAGATATCTTCTTTCTGATTTTAAAGGGGGTATTCCTTAAATAAGAGAAACAGTGTGTTTGTGTTTTTTCATCAGTATTTGGTATTGAAAAATTCTAAAAATTAACGTTTGTAGACTATATAAATTCAGCTCTCAAAAATAATTGAAATCTTAATATTTCTTTATGTACTTGGAGCTGGAAATGGGATCAAACTGAGGGTTTGAAGATGCTATGAGAGACATCCTGTGTCAGTGTCCATTGTCCCCACCTAAAATGGCCCATCTTCAATAGGCATAATGGCAACTACCTGGAAGATTCCCATATTCAATGTGGGAAATTTCCTATTTGCCTTCATTCCAAGGGGAAAAATAGCAATCCAATCATCCACTGCAACTTATCAGGTTGTCTCTCTTAATCGCTTTTTGAAATGCCAGGAGGATAGGTGCTCATCTCAACTCAGGTGGAGATTCGTTGCTTTAGGAGAAGGGCAACAACAGAAAATGGTCTCGCTTTCAGCTTTCCTGTCAGACTTTTATACCATGCTGATTGAGGAGAGAGAGCATTGTGATCTTATTCATACTACGGTTTTTCAAACTGACAGAACCATACTAACAACATAAATTCAAAAGTCACGTGAAAAAGATAATGAAATACATGTAATTTAAACTGGCTATTTTGATAAGATGAACACTTTGAAATTTTATCATCAAATAAAAAGTACTTTGCTGAAGCCAGATGAAATCTTTTAAGTGTTTATTATATATATATATATATATTTTAAATTTGATTTATATGCCGCCCTTCTCCGAAGACTCAGGGCGGCTTACAGTGCGTTAAGCAATAGCCTTCATACTTTTGTATATTTATACAAAGTCAGCTTATTGCCCCCACAAACTGGGTCCTCATTTAACCTACCTTAGAAAGGATGGAAGGCTGAGTCAACCTTGAGCCTTGGAGAGATTCGAACCAGCAGTAAATTGCAGGCAGCTGTGTTAATATGATATGATAAAATACAAGTGCCACATGTTACTAAAACACTGAAATTAGCATGAGAGTGGGGCTGAGGTGCCCTGGCATAGGGCATGTTCCCCTATTTTTGATATACAAACTATCTATGCAAAATAGTGTGGATGTCCACAGGCAGAAAGAATCTTCTCTCTTATAATTAAATACAATAACAAACCAACTAATTATTAATTGCCCTTTTGTAATTATCACCTCACCATATGTGATTACAGACTTACAGTCTGTAAGAGGAATGGCCTCTTGAAAAATAGATTTTTCAAGAATTAAGAATTCCAAGAATTTCAAGAATCTTCAAAAAAATGAAGATTTTTTTGAATTTTCATTTGTGCAATTTAAATAAGTAAGGCCATATAGTCTTGTGTAGAGAAAGTGACTCAATATCAGCATACAGGAGTACATTCATAAGCAATAAACATTTGGGTTGCAATTCTATAGATACTTGTTAGTGATTCCCAGTGAACCAGTGGAGCTTTTTTCTAAGTAAGCTGCAGTCCCTTCAATTTCCTTCATCGGAAGGGGTCCCCTAAAGGTCCTTTTTTTTGCTCTATGTGAGACTAGTCAAAATGAAATTAAACGTATAAATTATTTTGTTGTCTCTACAGAAAACACAAACTTGTGGTATACCAGGCTTCTTTTCAAGGAGAAGTTGTAGTGGTTAAGGTCTTGAACTGGGACTGCGAAGTCCCAGGTTCAACCTTATTTTTAGCCATGGAAGATCACTGGTGAGTTTGGGATAGTCACTCTCACTTCGGCCTACCTAACAGGGTTGCTGTTGGGAAAATTAGATAAGAGACTCTTATATGCATCACTTTGGAGGAAAACTAGGGCAAAACTAATACAGTAAAAAGTCTTGTTGATGCAAATGAACCCATTAATGGCTATTCTTACTTAGTTAATGACCCCTTAAAGTCTTGGTTATTTCATGGAACTCCCAAGTACCTATTAATATAACACATAAATGTATACAAAAGCTTAAATAATCTGGCAGCTTCTTTGACCCCAATTGTTCTTTTTTCTCAATATTCTTTCCATCTGAGCCACCAGATATTGATCAACTATTCAACTATTATCCTTGACCTTTTCTCCAGAAAACATTGTAGCTGTAAAAGGCCTACCTCCCCAATGGAAGAAAAGGCAACTTTTTCTCCAACATATTGAATGATAAACCTCTGTTGTTTATTTTCCCTCTGCAGTTTTTCCTCTAGTGTCTAGCCTACTTTGAAATCTTTCCAGGATTCACATCATCTTTTCTCCACCATGCAATTGTAATTGTCTGTAGTAATTCAGGGTATAGCTGGTCAACAGGCATATCACTTCATCTCTGTTCCAGGCAGCCTATTTTATCTCTGCTTCAAACATGGCAGATTTGATATAGTGACTCCCACTACCATGTTTCCCCAAAAATAAGACCTATCCAAAAAATAAGACCTAGATTGATTTTTCTGTTTGTGCCTAATAAAAGCCTTACCCAAAAATAAGCCCTAGTTAAGATCCTGCCCACCATGTCCAACCATCTGGTTGTAAGAGGTAGGGTGAGGCACATGCATAAGAATCAAGTTCAGTGGGAAGGGGGGGAGCTGCCCCATGCGCCCTGCACCTACTTACCTTAGGACCGCCGCAGCCAGGCCTCTCACGCTCCAACAGCTGTTGCGCCTCCACCTGACTTCTGTGGCTGCTTGCAGCCGCTTGTGGCAGGATGCCACATGGGACATCACACTGGTGCCTCCGCGCACAGCTGGATGCCACATGGTGCCTTGAGCTGGTGCCACTGCTTGCGGCAGGATGCCATGTGGCTCGTCACACCAATGCCGCTGCTTGCAGCAGAAGGTTGTGTGGCTCATTGCGCCGGTGCTGCCGCTCGTGCAACAGCGCCATACAGCCTCTTGCGAGTGGTGGCACTGGCATGATGCACCATGTGGCATCCTGCTGCAAGTGGCCGCAGAAGAAGTCAGGCAGGTATCGGGGCATGGGAGGCCTGGCTGCAGTGGTCCTAAGGTAAGAGGGTAAGACCTGGTGCTTATTTTGGGATCCAAAAGAAAATAAGATTGGTCTTTTTTGGTGGAGGAACATGGTATCTTTTCATCTAAGCATTCAATATGAATAAATTAGTTTTTACATGGGGAATACAGTATTATGCAGTATTAAGGAGACAGTGTGTAATTTCTAATCTACATAAAACCATGGAGGGAGGTCATCCATTAGTTTGGCATTTGATATAATCAATAAATGGGTGATACCCACTTGGGCAGCAAAGTGATGCTGTCAATGTCTAATAAAATAAATAAATAAACTTTATTGTCATTGTATGTGTATATACAGTATACACATACAACGAAATTTACTTGACACCCAAAGACCAGATCCCACACACATAATCCCCAAACATACTCCCACCCACCACAATTCCCCACCCCTAAGCTACCCAAACATCCACACAACAGACCAACTAATACTGTCCAACAGCTCACTGATGGCCCTTTAGTTCATTGTTGAGTGCAATTATAGCTCTGGGATAAAAACTATTCAGAAAACGTGTGGTCCGAGTTTTAATTGTTCTGTATCTTCTGCCAGAAGGCAACAGTCCAAAAAGATTGTAAACAGGATGGGAAGAGTCTCTGAGAAAGTTATGCAACTTCCTCAAACAGCGAGATTCGAAGATGTTGTCCAGGGCTGGTAGCTGGAGTCCGATGATATTCTGGGCAGTTTTAATGATTCTCTGTAGAGCTTTTTTGACCGCTACAGAGCTGCTCCCATACCATGCAAGAATGCCATATGTCAGGACACTCTCAATGGTGCTGCGATAGTAGGACAGAAGTAGATGCTGAGATAGATTTATCTTCCTGAGCATTCTCAGGAAGTACAGCCTCTTCTGTGCCTTCTTCACAAGCATGTTAGCATTCATAGTCCATGAGAGGTCCTCCGAGATATAAGTGCCCAGAAATTTAAAACTACCAACCCTCTCCACCTCCTCACCATTTATGTACAATGGTAAGTGTACATCTCTCTTCCTCCTGAAGTCAATTATAAGTTCTTTAGTTTTTGTGGTGTTAAGTGTGAGATTATTTTCATTACACCATAATGTCAGCCCTTGTACTTCCTTCCTGTAAGCAGACTCATTGTTCTTATTAATGAGCCCCACCACTGTCGTGTCATCCGCAAATTTAATAATTGCGTTGGTGTTATACAGTCATGTGTGTACAAGGAATAAAGGAAAGGGCTTAGCACACAACCCTGGGGGGCTCCTGTGCTTAGTATCAGAGTAGAGGAATGGTGAGATCCCATCCTTACTGACTGCGGCCTACCTGTCAGAAAATCCCTTATCCACAAGCAAATCCTCTGATTTATACCCAAATTGGACATTTTAAAAAACAACCCGTTGAGTAAAATGTTGTTAAAGGCAGAGCTATAATCCACAAATAACAGCCTTGCATATGCCCCCTGTTGTTCCAAGTGATTCAATACAGTATGGACAACAGTAGACATAGCATCGTCAGTTGATCTATTACTCCTATATGCAAATTGGTATGGGTCCAAAGTAGATGGAAGACTAGCCTTAATATAGTTCAACATCAGTCTCCCAAAACATTTCATGACAACAGATGTTAAAGCTATTGGTCTATAATCATTAAGGGATACCACTACTGTCTACTTAGGGACTGGCACTATAATAGATGTCTTCAGGCAGGTGGGGATAGAGCACTGTGACAGGGATAGATTGAAAATATCCGTGAACACTTCAGCTAGCTCTGCAGTGCAGAGCTGAGAGCTGAGGGCTGTGCAGGTCTGGATGTGGAGAATAGACTTAGATTCAATCCTCCCAAGACTGAGTGACAGTGGATTTTTGGCCACCCCAGATATGGAGACTTCCCAACTTTAGCCTTGATAGGATTGCATTCCTCCAGTCATGTCTGGCATGCAATTTGGCAGTTGTCTTGGCTTCATAGCTCCTGCTTAAAGAGCATCAGCTGTGGAGAAGAGGGC